TTTTTTCTTGTTGTTTAGTTTTGTGCTTATTCTTTCTTTTGGAAATTCTTATTTTCCACCAATGGGGTAGGTGCCAATTTTGGTCCAAACAGACACAACTGCCAATTTTGGCCCAAACTGAAAATTGTGAGGGACTCATCATCTTCCTTACGCCTCCCGCACAAACCTTAGCGGCGACGGTTCTTACTTGTGGGCGACAAAATGTTCTACCCTCGGCGATGGCTGATGATCCGAGAACGCTGACCGGGGGTGCCCTAGGGATGCACACAAGTTGCTCAGAATGGCTCTTTTTCTGTATAAGTGATCGCTGCCTCCCTCCTTGGCCTCTTATATTTTCCAACGACAACAACACGGGGCTTCTTGACTTACAGCTACAAGTCGAGAGCATGACAACATGTGCCGCTTCAGCCTCTCATTTATTTTTATTTTTATTTTTCTTATTTCTTCCAGTAGAAATTGGGATATGTCCTACAGACGACCCCAGTTTTATGCCTCAGATTTATCGACTCACTAAGATTGTCGGTGGAACTGCCTCGTCTTGATCTCCTCAAACCATGAACCAGATCAACCTGTAAAAGCGATGGGGCGGGGTCATGTCGTCGACACTCTGACACTCAAGTCAGAAACTTATATTTCAAACTTAAATAATTGAGAGACTTATTTAGAGCTTAGGATAGAAATTGAACCTAGATCCCTTATTTATAAAAGGCTTAATCACTTACTCAAGACAAGGGTTGACATAAGTTAATGTGCCCACTGCTTATGTGGCATGCACACATTGGTGATGTATTTTTTGAACATATTAACATCACCAATGTGTGCATGCTACATAAGTGGTGGGTATATTAACATGTGCCCACCGTGGGTAGGAGAGCATTATCCTTTACTTAATGAGTAATGCTCCCCTACCCACGGTTGACATATGTTAATGTGTCCACCGCTTATGTGGCATGCACACATTGGTGATGTATTTTTTGAACATATTAACATCACCAATGTGTGCATGCTACATAAGCGGTGGGTATATTAACATGTGCCCACCGTGGGTAGGAGAGCATTATCCTTTACTTAATATCTAAGTAGCTCATCCTCAAGAATAACTGTGTAGATATACACGAACTTATTTATATCTTTTAGGAATATTTTCTATATTTTCATAGGTATTTAACCAATACCATATACCTTTAAATAGCATAAATAGAGTTTAAGCTCCCTTGGACCGACAGTACCCTAGCTAACTGCTCAAGTCGGTCCATCGAGCCATTTTTCGTGCGACATCATGTGGGACCCATTATCTCATTCATTTCATATTATTTTTGTCATTATGAAACATAAACATACGGTTTTGTTATGGAGCCATCAAATGGCTCGGTTTATGGAGTCATCCATAGTTTTTCACAAATGGTATATTGACACGTGTCATGCAATAAATATACATTGGACACGTGTCAATACATAAAGGTATGGATGGCTCCTTAAGGGAGTCATCCGATGGTTCTATAGACTTTATGCATAAACATAATACTATTTGTATATTAAATAGTCATTTTGCAAATGTTGGATATTTGTGTGTTTTTTTTTTTAACGTTATTCAATGGGTTAAATGAAAGATGTAGGAAAGAAAACAAAAGCGGGACCTGTAGTATCTCTCTGTCTCATCCTTTTCTTCTTCTCGGCAAACAGAAAAAGAAAAAATAAATCTTCTTCCCCCTCCCCCTCCCTCACCTGCGTGCCTTGTCGGTTCTTTAGTGTGTTATCCCCGAGTTGGTTTTGTCCATCATTTTGAGGTGTTTCAGTCTGCTTGGGAGTTTTTTTTCCTTCTTTTTGTAGATTGTGTGTGTGAACTCGAATGTTACACATTATTGAGCTATGTAACTCATTTACGATGTGTGTAAGAGCATCTCCAGCGCTTTGCTCTACTCTAGAGTAGACTTTACTCTAATCTAGAGTAGAACACGCCGAAATTCAAGTTCCATTTTCAGCCCTTTCGCGCTACATTTTACTCAACATTAAATATATTATTTTTTATTCATATTTATTTCAAATAAATTGGTAGATATATGTATCTTTAATCTATATAAATGTTTATTATCCATATAATAAAAATATGTTTATGTATAACAACACGAGACTGGTTCATAAAATTAAAAAAAAAATATAGGAATACAAATTACACAGTATGATGAAATCTTCTTGTTCGGTTAATTGGGTAAATTTTTATTTTATTGGTATCATTTTAATATTAAAAAATTACAAAATATAATTATAGTACATCAATCAATAAAAAACACAAAATTATTTATCATAAAAAATACTGCATAAACTTATTTAGCATAAAAAGTACATTAACTAATACACATTATACAAAAATTTGTCATTAATATTATATCAAAATACATTAAAAAAAAATCTAGCGTTGCTATAATGTTATGCCACACCGTAACAATCTCCATTGTAGCTCAATATCGTGGCGCAACAACATTGGGGAGTGTTGTTTTGCGCAACAACAGAGTACAGTCAGATTGAACTAAGCCAACAACACCAAAAAATCTATGGAGCCATCAGACAGTTTTCTTATGGAGCCATCAATCGCCTAATGTATTGACACATGTCCCAAGTATATTTATTGTAGGACACGTGTCAATACACTATTTGTGAATAACTATGGATGTCTCCATAAGCCGAGCCATCCGATGACTCCATAGCAAAACTGTCAACAACACATTCATATTTAAATGGGCTCTAATAATGCTAATTAGCTGAATTTTAATTAGTATACAAATTTACATGAGTTACAAAATTAATAGATACATTGTTTGTTTAGAAGATTTCCTTTCCATGTGTGGAAAGCAACTATACAACTGAGTGTCATAATTAGCCAGTCTTTTGTATATAAAAAGTTAAAATTTTTAAAGATTACCAAATGAAGCACAATCTTCATACATTTTAGACGGACATTCTTTGCTTCCAAGTGTTAGAAAAGCCGTTCTATAGTTAATTTACAGCAACAGCTAAAGTGTGTAGTAAGGTCTCTACCTTATTAACATATATATCAATGTTCCCCCTTGCTAGCCTAGGCATGTATATATATATATATATATATTTTAAGTATGTGTATTTTTTTTTTTAAAAAGCACATTTCTTTAGTCGTTAGACGAGTCGGGAAACTGCTATATATCATCGACAAATAAAATATTGCACTAAGGATACTATTCGACAGAACTATCGAATAAACAATCATATTTTTTCATTAAATATAAACAGAATAAATAAAGGTACGACATTTGTTAATTAGCATAAATATACACTTATAAATAGTGTGATGAGTCGACTCGCTTAATAGTAATTAAAGCTACCTCATAGAATAATTTGTGATAATATTAGGGTCAAATAGCAACTCCATCCAATAAGCTGAAAAGATTAAGCAAAAACAGACATTAAAATCTAAAAAGGCAAGAAATGAATGGCCAAATTATTGTATCATCCTCATTCATGATCAATATTGATCCCATATGATGTCTAATGTAATTTCTTTTTTTTTCTTTTTTTCATAAAAAGATTTTAATTGAGAATTTAAACTTTAATATATAACTATGCATTGCATGAAGATTGGAGTGCACTACAAGTTGGTGCAACATGGACATTTAAACCATGCCACTATAGGTAACTTATTGTGTAAACTAACATATATGCATCCTTATTTTTTCCTCATTAATTTTCATCTCCACAACAAATTTTAGAAAAAATAAATAAATAAATAAATAAAACACACAAAAAGAACTTGAGAAAAGGATTTGAGGCCAAATTCATAGGCATTATCCATTCTGAAAACCCATCAAAAACAACCTCCAATTGCATGCCTAAAAGTCCCAAGATTTTGACTATAAAAGATGGCAAACACTTGCAACTCAAATTAAGACAAGAATTAAGTGATCTAAAAAGAGCCTTTTGTGTTGTAAGAAAACAAAGCCTTTGTAGCCTGAGAAAGTTGACAATCTTTCTTAGCCAGAAAATATAAAAGGAA